GGTGGAAAAAGGAATGGTCTGAGAAAAATAATCATGCTCTCATAATTTTGATCCGATACCCTCCCGCTTTTCTGCCAGGTAAAAGGCTGTACAGGCTCCAAGAAGGAAACAGGTGATCAACAAAAGTTTCATCTGCATGGCTGAAGTCGTTTTAACTCCGGGCAGACAATGGCTGTCGTTCCATTTATGGGTTTCACAGAGATGCCAGTAGTGTAGAGCCAAAACTCAATACATTACATTGCATACTTTGCATGAAATTAACTAGGTGAGGATCAAAAATAGGTAAATAAAAGTAGTATTTTATGATGCAATGGGAGACAAGACAAAGGCATGGAGGTGTTTCTTCAAGCACCCTTAATAGTCTAAGGCTAAAAATAGAGAGGTTGACCTTGAAGTTAGTGCGCACGGTAGACAATAAACTGCATCAAGAACAGTTTTACGGAACAACACTATGAAACAGAAGCCTTTGAGATCGGAATGAGGTTGTGATACAAAATGTTCGTGGTATCCTTTTGACTATTTTATAATCTCAGCCGAAAATCGAACTTTTCAATTATGGACAGTTATATTTAGAGTTACGGATACGCCGATTTGATGCTACACGGTTGGACAATTTTCTCGTCCGATATTTCTAATATTTTATTCCTGCGTAAATTTGATAATGGGGTCTCACTGATTAGGATCTCGATGAAATGACCTTCTACTAAATATTGCAATTATCCAGCTCTTTTCTTAGGGTTGAGCATGTAGTCAGGGCGAATGGCTAACAGTCAACAGGAGAAACGAAAACGATTCTACGGAAAAAGACTATTATACGGGAGTCTTAATAAGTAGAATAATCACATAAATTATAGAGTTTTGATGGGAGAGGAAGTTTTTTTGGGGTACCATTATCAAAATATCAGACAAAATTGAACTTTCATAATTCTGAAAAGATGTATTTCGAATTCAATATATCAAATTGATGTTATAAAGTTCGGCAATTTTCTCGTCTAATATTTTGGATTTCATGTCCTGAGTAGTTTTAATTACAAAGCTTCACCGAATAGTACTTCGCTGAAAATGACCTGCTGCTTGGATAACAAGTAGCATAACATTAAAATTTGAACTCTTCCCCAATCAAAAAGAGTAAAACTATTGTCACTCAGTTTTAATAAGAGAATCGTTTAAAGAGCAGCGTCTAAAAGAGTTACTGAACGAGTTTTAATGCTTGACAACAACGTAGGGAGCAAACAAATTAGTGGGAACCAAGTGCGTAAAGTTAGATCTAATACTGGATTAGTACTTAGGTCTATATTGAATGCATGTAACGATATTTCTGTTTATCACTACTGTGTTGGGATATCAACAATGAAAATTATCAGGCGAGCATGGAAATCTTTCTTTTATACATACACAAAAGGAAGTTTTAACTTTTTTGACTAAGATAATGTTAAGGAGCCAGGTCTACAATTGATGAGGGAAACCAAGTGGTTTAGCTGGAGAGTAGTTATCATCGATCACCGACGAAAAGGAATATCCTAATAAAGAACCGGTCAGTACGGTTTCCAGGAACCGATAAGATTTTCCAAAATTATCCATTAAGTTGTCATTCACTTTGAGAGTGTTCAATATTTACTTAAGTCTGACTCTGGGGAATTTTTCTGATTATAAAATCTCAGAACTGAACACTTTCATTTCTCACGATTTTCTGTTATTGGATTGGTAGTAGTATTTTCTCGAAACTTTCACTTCGCAGCGTCACTCCGAGATTTTCTACAAAGAACAGTCAATAAAGGCATATCGCCCATGTTATCACACCTCCACCGTGCTGCGGAATTAAAGTTTCCTTTGTACATAAACCGAGCCAAGAACCGTACCATGATAGCAATTGGGAGAATGCAGGTAGCTGAGCGTG